TGTTTCCTCTTGCGTCAAAGGATTTTCATTTATTTTCCTTATGCGCTCCCATACCTTATTCGCCTTATCGCTCATCCCGAATGTTGCAACTTATTCGAACTTACAATTTTTCCATGATGCAATGCAAATATATTTATTATTACGTGACGTGTATTTGCTACGAAATTGAAAACGAACAAATCATGACATTTTTTATTTATTCGGATCAGTCTACTGAAAATGTATGAACAATGAATACAACACATCTCGCCCTTTTCTACAAATCGTAATCGCATTAATTCGTCAATTCAATTTTAATATTTTACAACGTAAATGGCTCTATTTGTCAATGGGAGTAAAATCATTATTATTTTAAACCGTTCGTTTTTAGAATATATCACTGTTGTTCTTATAATGGTAGTTTTTATTTTATTTAGTTATTAACTAAACCGAGTTAATAGTCAAATTATTTAATGATACCAGTATTCAACAACTGAATAACATAATAATTATTTGTTTTTTATTAGTACGAATAACGATTAATTTAATAAAATAAATATCTGGTATAAATTTAAAAAATATTGTAGAGTATTGTTTTGTTTTTAAATTAATTCTGAGTAAATTTATTTTTTGATCAGTACAAAGTTATAATTATGATTCATTTTTAAGCGCATACCTATTTTGATGGCTACTATTGCAGATTTATAAGTACATCATTATAATTTTCAAAAGAGTTCCAATTATTTTAGTAAACAGGAAAATTGGTATTATAAATATATATATATATATAATAATAATAATTGATCTGGAAAAATAATGAAATAAAAAAGCTAATGTATAAAACGTCTCCGTTCCAAAGATCATTGAAATGTTGATAAAGTTAATTATCTTTCTTATACTCAATAAATGCTTTATTTTTGCAATATTTTCAGAACAACGCTCAGAACAAAGTGTCTTTTGGTTCGACGTATTGTTGTTTAATTTCGTGGAACGATACGTCTCAGACAAATGCAGACCTACTTATGTCGGTACAAAAAATCTGCTGCTTAACAAGTGGCGAAAATACAGCAACTCAATTGACATAATTATACAAAATATTATTATAATATAAGCGATACGTTTTATTTGTGCAGAAATTTTCCGGTTATACGTGATATTGTAGGTGATAAATACAACAATTGGTTATCGAGGTGAACTAAAATGATTTGATTAAAATAGCTTGAAAATATCGGAAAAGATTGTCAACTCATTAAAATCGGTCGTACGAAATAATACGATATTATGATTTATAATTCAGGCTCTGTAAAAATAAAATAAAATTGAATACATCTAAAACTAAATGTATTCGTTTTGAAATAAATTTATCTAATATTCTCATAAATTACAAATTAACTGTCCATTCATTGAAATGTGTATCAAATTCAAATTGTTTATGCCCTTCAAATTGTATTAATATTAAAGAAATACAAGAAATAAAATATCTAGGATTAGTTTTAGATTATAAATTAAAATCGGATAAGCATATTATTTCAATAAACAATAAATCACGCAAATTTTTCTATATTTTCAACCAAATTGTGTAAAAGTTTATGGACAAAAAAGTGTATTTTATATAGGTCTGAAATTATGATTATATTTTAATATTAATATGAATAATGTTAGTAATTTATTTATATATCAGAAAAATATTAAATTTTTAAATTTAGCTTATGGTTAAAGGTTATTTTATGTAAATTTTACTATTTTTCTAAAATGTTTAAGTCTAAGTTTTAAATTTAAGTTTAAGTTTTTATTTTTATATTTATCTAAAAAGTTAATTTTTTACTACAAGATGTATTAAATTTACATAAAATTATTTACTATTATTTAATATATTAAAATTGATTATAGAATAATCAATGATGATACTATAATAAGAAAATTCTACTATATTCCTATATTTTGACTATACATACTATTTTTGTTTTTTATTAATACAAAATGTATTATTTTATATTATTCTAATTTAAATTCTTAATAACTGCTACCTCAGCACAAGCTTTGGTTATCGGGTGTACTGCATAAATTGTATTTTCAATTTTATATTTTTGATATAAAATCTGTGATGTTGCAAAAAATATATTATTTTTATTATTATTATTATAATAAACTTCTCATTTCAGTTATTAAAACAATATGTTGTTTATTAATGTAGACTTTCAGATTAGATAACGTTTAATGTTTAAACCAATATTTTACCTATTAATCGTGACATTAAATATTTTGACCCAATTGTGTCACGGTAATATTTTTGTCCATTATATTTATTGTAATGTATTCGTATTTATTCCTAGAATCTTATAAAGTGTTTTATAATTATTAATATTATTGTTATTATAATAGATATTAGTAATTTTTACAATGTAAAAATTTAATTAAAAAAAGTTACGTACCTTTTTTTAATTACATTTTTTTTAAAAAAAAAAAGGAATAGATAAACTTTTAGTCTTATTTTAAGTTTATGCACTGGCTAATGTTATTATAAAATTTTTTATCACACATATTTTTTTAGTTGAACTATAAACCATGAAATGTAGAATATCCCTATGGATTTTTTTTATACAGATAGCTAAAAAAAAAAATGCATACAATATTTTAGTATCTGAAGCTATAAAATTTCGATTATTATATTTTTAGTTTAAATATAATATTCACTACATGTCGGACACTAGTCTTCAGCAATCTATTTTCGTTAATCACTTTTTGTGTTATGATTATATTTACTTTATTTGCTCGTATAACGTAATTCAGTGATAGTAGAAGTTAATGGGGTTTCTATTCCCTCATGATGGTAGATTCATTGTAATTTAAAATTGCATATGTTTGATTTTTTCGATTTTTTCTACAGATTATATTTGTAGATAAATTTACGGAAACCTGTAAAGTTTAATATTGTTGATTATACTCTTGCGTTGAAACGTTCAACCCGTAAATATATCAATTTACGTTCCCGTTTATTGTAGGAATAATAATAATAGTTGTCGATTTTTTACATTAGGATTATTTTTGAAACGTATGCCGTATGGTTAAAATATTTAGCTAGACGTTTTTACGGTTTAATCAAATTTATTATTCACGTTCCGATTAAGATCACAATCAATAATAATAGTCATTTGCTACCATTAAATTATATTTCACATTTCTTAATATATTACATCATATCAACGAACATGGTGTTTTACTCAAACAAAAAAAAAAAAAAATTAAAAAAATATTATATATTTTCTTTTGGAATGGAGCGCATATTGTGTTTCGAATCATATCATACAAGACTATATCCACTGGTGACGATATTTTTAGTACGTTAAGAACAAAGGAATTGAGTTCATGTACTCGAAGCCCCTAACGGCTAAGAGAGTTGTTTTGTTGCTTTTTTTCTCTCCGGATTTTCACATACATCCTATGACTACTCAACACGGTTTTTCATGCGTTTTTCTCTTAATAAAACAAATATACCTTTTCCTTACACCATTTCGGTAAGAATATAAATAAAAAATACTCATATAAAAAAAAAAATTTTCCCGGGGGAATATTTTTGTTGTATTTTTGAAAAAAAAAGTAAATTAGAAAAATACTATTATGGTGCCATATTTGATACTATAAAGTCCCTCCTCTAATACATCTCCAGGGAGAATTACAATGTTTTGATGATTGTTAAAAATTATTTTTTTTCTTTTGAATAAAATTACCATTTCAAATCGGCTACTATTTTTGATTATATACAACTGTGGAATTTTTAAAAAAATTAAATTGAATTAACAATATAAAAAGTAATTTTCATACATTAATTAAAATACATTAAAATATTATTTATTTTTCTTTAATTTAAATTCAAGATGATTATATTTTGCCGCTGGATATGATAACACTCAGTACATACATTTAATTATAAGGTTATGTATAATTACTATTGTTATAATTATATTTGTTTAACTGGGAAAAAAATGTATTTTGTTTATTTGAATTTAATTTATATCAAATTGAAAATAACTCAGTTTGAAACATTTATACACACAAAATAATTAACGCTATAAAAATTATAAAATTTATATTTTAGAAAAATTACATAACTTTGGTGTTTGGTAGAATAAATTAATTTTTATTTCCGTTAGTTGAATTCGTAATGTTTTCAATCAAAGTTACGTATTCGCAAAGTAGTAATTATATTCGTCCGATGTCTATTTTATTAAGTTCAAGAAAAAATTTTAATTTTCTGATTAACCTAAGGTCGTATCTAAATTGAAGAAATATTAGGTTACGGGGTTCAGATTCGGGGGGGGGGGGCACAGACACGGCCTTGAAATAACTGTTATAAAAATTAAATTATTATTTCTGGTGTAACAAAAGTTAGTAATGAAGTAATATCAATAAATTACCAATATACATACATTTAAATATGATACTTGATTTTTATGGCTTTAACGATTTTTACAAACAGAATAACTTGATTTTTTTTAATTATTTACTATTTCTAATATCGAAAAACTTCGATCTGCACTGACCACTATCGTATCCGAATAAAAATTTTTTTCGCAAATAAGACTAAAATCAAAATGAATAGGCCCCCATCGTTTGCGTTTTAATACTGCTCCACCCTTTCGTCATAAATTCATTCACTCTGTCACTCTGTTGGTCCTATCGATATATATTTATAAATTATATTTTTTATATCATTGTTAACAATAACTGTTGTGTCTCTAATGATAGTTAATCAATAATATTTGATTCGACATGGTAATAAAACACTGAAAATATTAATGTTCTGTGACGCAATGATTGATGTAAAACATAAAATAAAATCTAGTAAGATGAGATAAATATACACCAATTAAGACACTCCTAATGTTGTGAAATTGCATTTAATCATTTATTCCTAAATCATGAAACGACAACTATGCTAACACAATTTCATCAATTTCATGGATGCTAGCGATTTGTTTATTTATTTTGATTTACTTATTTATTTATAATATTTACTTTACCCGTAATGTGTCCTTTTTAAAAACGCAACACGTGCTGCTAGTTCTTTAATCCGATCGTGTTCCAATCCACAACTTTTTATTATTGAAATACCATAAATCGCCAAAGTTTCTAACCATTGTAACAAAACTTCGTCACTGTAAAAAATAAAAAAAAAGCTTTTACTAATTTATCTCCTTTGGTTTGAAGTGGATGAATGCATTTTACTGCAAATTATTGTAAAGAGATTTTGTTGCAATAATATCGAGTAAAGATATAAAATAATATAGTATAATTGTTCTGTTTGTACTGATCTATTTGATATGCTTACGAAAATTTGTAATGTTTGATATGCACTAGGATATAAAATATAATTTATTATTTGTAATATGGATATAACAGTAATTATTGTATTATTACTGTGTTATTATAATATGTTAACGTTCAGTTCTGAACTATAGGTATTATTTTAAATTATTGTAATTGGATCGTTTGATCCGTTGAAATAAGTAAATAATATTGTATTTTTATTTATATTATCTATGTATAATATATGAGCAGGCCTGTCGCTAGAGTATAAGCAAGTCATGCATTGCTTTAGGGCGGGATACAATTTTAAAGAAATTCAAGTAGCAAAATTTAATAAATATCGACAACATAAGACAATAATTGCTGTTATGCATCTTTGTACTATTATCGTAGCTCCATTACCTCAATTTGACTGTACATTATTTTAGCATATTATTATTCCGATCTGTAATATTTGTAATAAAGAGCGAACACAATTTTCGCTTTAAGGTGGAAAATATCTTATGACGGGCCTGCAGGTATGCAAATAGATGCTATTTTTTTTTAATGTTTGGGGGTAAAATAATGTACAATAAAGTGGTATATACCGTATAATACAAGGCGTATATCTTACTTCGTGGTTACTACAATTCGATTTATTTTTTGGGAAAAGGGATTGCTTTTACCTTCTCTAAATAACATAAATATGAATGTTTTATTATATGTTTTTCAATGATTGTTTTTTTGAGACAATAATTTTATTTCGTTATGATTAACAATATCAAAGATTTGAATTAACATTTTGAATTTTGATCAGTTTTAAGCAAAATCAAACAGTAAAAATGCATTATTATATTTTAGGAATGTATGTTGTTGAATATTAAAATTAGTTATTCATAATAAATAAATAAATGGTTACTCATAAAATTATTAAGTGTTGTTATTTGCTATAATTACGTTAGTTATTATAATGGTAATTTTTCTATAACTCAATTTGAAATTCCATTATAATATTATGTACAAAATGAAAACATTTGTGAGAGCATTAATGCTTTATTATTTTTTTTGATTAAAAATAATTAAAAATATGACAACTAGTAATAAAACTAATAAAAAATAACCAATGTAAATAAAATTTTACCCTGAATTGAATGATAAAAGTAGGTATTGGTTGATTTTCTGATAAATAAAAATTGATAAATTTCATTAAAGTATGATGAAATAAATTATTTCTTGTAATTAATTGAATAAAAAAAGAGAACAAGTTAATTTAAATAAATGAATTGTATGCATAGATTATATTAGTTGTTAATGAAAAAAGAGTCTGGGATTGTCAAACAAATACAATCGTTATAATAAAGCTAGAAAAATTAAAAAAAAACGGGGTATTGAGTCTGTCTTTGGACACTCGCATCTTGCTTTATTAGCCCTGCTGTAGTTTAAAATGTTATTATTTCTCACCGTAAAAAAACGAAAATAAATCATTGAATTTAAAAATAAATCTAATTCGTTCGAAATGTTCTAATTCATAAATTTTTATACTTAAAATATTCGTACATAGAATTTACCATTCCACGAAAATTTTTAAGATTCGTTTAGTACAGTGATACCAGTTAACATAATATGGTAATATGGTAATTATCATTTGAATCTGATTTCCAATTGATATGGAGTCTATAGGACATTATTTTTACTGATGGATGAAGAAAAGAACCACATAATTATTTTCATAAACACTCATTATTGATAAGGATCGTAAACTAAATGAATCGTATTCGTAATGTGTTTACATTATTTTTTATTTAAATATAATTTAATTTTATATGTGCTGTTCAATAAACTTTAACGTAATTATAAGCACTACTTAAACGTTTGGTATTATTCATATACTCGTAGTAACTACCAACTTCTAAATTCAAACGCTAATATAAATATCATAGCCTCCATTAGCCGTAAAAAAATGTAGGTTTAGTAGGTGGATGGTTGAAATTTTCGGTAGGCAAGGATAAAAAATAATGATAAAAAAAAATTTTAATGGTTAAAATATATTTTTGTTATATTTTGAAAAAAAAATTATATCAGGTTTAAAAACGAAGTTTTAAGTCCTGAAGAATTGAACTTTATTTTAACTTCTGTTCAATATAATAAATAAAAGTAAATTATAGACGAATTTTACTCATGTTTCGTGTCCAGTGTTTTTAGATCACTATATTATTCAACGCTTACTATGGTCTTTACATGATCCAAACGGATATTACAACAGTATAATTCTATTATACTGTAATATCAAAGATAATGTAAATAGAATATTGCCAAAATATTGTCTTGACGTTTACGATGAGATAGAAAGTCATTAACGCCACCGTGTTCTGTACATTCATGCGTGGCGGCTGTAATACATTATTTTGGGTTGGATGGGTTGTCAGTCTTACATAAAACAACGGTGAAAGGGGTTGAGATAGTCAACAAAATAATTTATCCCGTAAATATATTATCTAGCGCATATATAGTGTATACAATTTAGCTCTTTCGGAACAGGATCGATAAACCAACAATGATAGTTATTGCTAATGTTTGTATACATTATTGCATTAATATATAACTTAACATTAAACATTTATATTTACTGCACGAAAATATGATACAAAAAACAAAAATAAATGTAACTAAACGAATGTGTAATTATGTATTCATTGAGCGTAGAATGAATTAAACGTCCACGACTCATTGTTCAGAGGTATTTTTTTCGTAATATTTTTATCGGGATCCGCAGTTGTATGGTTTGAAAATGTATTTCCAGTTGAACACAATGATATCGAAATATCACGTAGCCGTCGGTTCGTTAAGTTCGGCTTAATTCGTTAAGTTATGAATTATATTATGCAAATAAATAATGCGGTTATATGACCTTTTGATTACGTTCTCATATTTAAATGACCGGAGCATAGTGGAAAACGATTCCGCAGTCCATTTGATTTGCTGATATTCCCGTCGTTCTTGACCCTCATTAAAATTTCTCTCTAGTAGCCATTGTAAGTCGTAAGTACTCACGTGGCTGTCATCCCATTTCACGTAAAGCACATCATCGCTTATAATCTAAAAAAAAAAAAAAAAAATTATAATACATACTTTAATTTTATGCACAATTGTGTTGTATCAAAATAGTGTTACTGAACTGCATTCTAATAAGTCAAATTTGAAGAAAAAAGTGATTTCATGTACCCAACACATTTTATTAAAACAAAGTCAATGGGCGTATCGATTAACGTACGAGCTGCATAATAATATATTGTATAGCTATATAATTGTAGTAAATTTTCTAATAATTTCTTTTTACGTTAAGAAACGTTGAGGAACCATGTTGGAAATTGAACTATTTTACTCAAGAGAAAATATAAGGACTTTTAATTTAAACATAAGAACAGAGTGGGTGAAATTCAAAAGCTGATAAACAACGCAAACAGTAAAATAATAAATTATAATACAAATATATACAAATATACGTAAATTAAAAATATTGTTTTGGACTTTTATATATTTTAAAATTGTATATAAAAATAATTCTAAAAACACCACACTATGTTTTCTGTATCTGAATTGAACACTGATAATGATACACGTAAGTTAAACGTAAAAAGTTAACTTTAGTCTTTAGAGAAAAATATACACTAAGAAAAAGGAAAACAACTTTAACACAGAGTAAAACTTTATGATTAAGGTTTGAGTTTTAATGCTTAAAAAATACATAAAATATCGCAGCCAAACTGTATTTATGGCCTACAAAAATATTTGATTAAGTTTATAAAAAAATTATAAGTAATTTTAATCTTTTAATATTTTTTTTTACAATTTTTTATTAATCCCAAATATACTTAAAAATTAATGCCTTGTTGTTCTAATTTAATGTTATTCTTATGATTAGACTACTATTAAAATACTGTTTGCTTTTTTATTGAGAACAGTGACGGCACTATAATAAATATGACAAAATATTAAATGCGTTTTAAAAGTGAAATAAGAAAACTGTCTTGTTGGTGGAAAATGGTTTATGGTATGCAACATATAATACTAGAAAAATTATTATGTTAACTACTTAATTCAACCCCACATTCGTATTATAATAGTGTTTTATATATTGTAACTTACGAATAATAATAATAATAATAATAATAAATATTCGTTTAGATCAAAAAGTATTAAATATATGAGTCTTTAACTTCACGCCTCTGTGTTGTATTTTCACTTTGTAAGACTCCCTATAAAGTTCACTTAAAAAAAAAAAAATAAATAAAAAAATAATTAAAGTGTGCATGGACATATGTTAAGATCAATTTAGGTGTATTTAAAGGAGAAACAACAATCATGGAAGTCAATGATCATAGAAGAATATATTTTTATCTTATGTAGTATTCCGTCATTACAGCTGAAATTTATTGGCGAAAAATAGAAAAATTTGTTGTTTAAATCAGGGACTGGAACCTATAGGTTTTTTCGGTTCCGGTTTCGGTTTTAGTTGTTCAATCAATTTTTTAAGGGTTCCAGTTTAGGTTTCGGTTTTTTAAGAGTAAGGGTTCTAGAACCGGTTAATTTTGGTTAATTCTGAATATTAGAGATTTATTAAAAAATAATACGAATTAATTTTTTTATTCTTGTTTAAATTGTAATTGTTTCATTTCATGAAAATAGAAGGTATTATGAATAGTTGAATAGTAATTGAAATATGAATAGTAACTGAATCGTATAAAAACAATTCTACAAATGTATTCCAATTAGTATCTATTAGTATATTTGAAATTAATTTTAAATAATTCTGGAATGTGTATTTTTCGAGCACCTAAGTTGTATTTTAACCAACGTTAACCTAGAAAGTACAATTAACTAATGTCGAAACTTTGTAGAACATTATTTTGATAAATTGACTGAACAGTATTGTTGATAAGATATACTGTGCGCACAACATAATCTAGCATTCTTATTTTTTCAGTATACCATAAAAGTATTTATTCTACCAAGTTAAATATCAAACCAATCTATATGGCCAAGGCACGACCGAGTTGATGTTCAATTAACCTCTTTTGGTATACTTTAAACGTGGTATAAATTATTACTAACCTATATTACGACCGCGTTTAAATTAAAACGCGCACGAAATGTATGCAAAATATTAATATGTATACTATGCATAATGATTACGTCAGACGTATATCATAAAATTAATCTTTTTACGAATATTATTATTATTATTAGAATGGCTTATGTTAGTTTAAGTACATAATTTTACGCATGCACCTTTGACGTTTTTATTCATTTCGTTTCGCCCGATTACCTGTATTGCGTTCCCGTTCCCGTTTCGCCATAAACGTATTCGGAACCTATTCAAAGAGGTGTCACGTTCGGTACGGTTTTCGGTGGATACGGCAGAGTCGCCCAGAGCGTCCCGTCGTTTCCGTGAAAATTTACTTCGACCCTCCTCCCCATTGAAACCTCCGACGTACAATATTGATTCTGTTGCATACGACGGTTACAAAAAGGATAATATAAAATAATATAATCCGTTCGACGGGAAGGTTTAATTTAATTATTTTTTTTCAGGTTTTCGTAGGGACAAAAAAATTAAAAAAAAATTAATCGTCACACGCGTGGAAAGTTTCGCCGAATGCCAGATGCGTTTATCGCACGGGCGAAACCCGTTCCCGGGGACGGCGTCCGTACTCAGAAAACGGCGACGCGTTTCATTTCCAGGGCAGCGAAAACCACCCGTTCACGGGGTCGCACGTGCTTCACCCGGCGGAACGGTTGCCCGATGCGAAAAACCGAGCGACGCCGCGGCAGGTCACCCGCGCGACGGTTAAGCCGGTGCCGAACGCAATCGTCGGACTGCCGCGATCTACGCGTATAATATAATATTGTTGTTGCACGACCCCAACCCCCGCGCGCGCATTAATCGTGCGCTTCGGTCCAATGATTATCACGGGGTTTCGTGTCCGCTGGTCGGGCCGGGTTCGCACACCCTGAACGCCGCACACCCGGCCGTACGTATGGTCTTAACGAGTTTTCAGGAAAATCACGTCACCCGAATTCACACATACACGTGCGCACTCACACAAGCGCCATCTCCGGTGATTGTTTTCAACCCTTTTCTGCGAACGACGTATGATGTCATGATGTGGTTCGCGGTAATTTCTCATAAATCGACAATTCTCGATCGCGTCACACCGCACACACACACACACAAACGTACACGGTTTTCGAACAAGATACGACCAACGTGCGAAATTTAAAATTTTTTATGTATTCGTTGATAATCGTAGCTAGGGCTCGGAAGTTGTATGAATTGCGTATTGTTCTGTATGCTCTCGATTTATAACAGACCAATCTAGAAATCTAAATTATACAACGGTGAGTTAAAAAAAATCAAAAATGCATATTCTGCATATTTTGTCAATTTCAGCTGAAATAGTGCATATTTCTTTGATTTTATAAACATATTATGCATACTTCGTACTTTTCTAAAAAATTGATTTTTTTTTTTTCTTAACCTGTATATTTTAAAATTATCAACCAAGTTATTTATTGTAATTTGAAAGAGAATTTTAAATTAAAAAATTACTGGTGTTTCAATTTAATAACTTAACAGGTATTATAATACATGTATTTTTTTCGTAATTTCAAAAATACTGAAAAAATATTTTTAATTATATTTTTAGCTCAATAAGATGTCAAAATGCCACCAGTTATAGATTTTTTTCAAATATAAATAGTTTTTGTGTATATTATGAATTTATTAACAGTTTTAGATGTATTTTTTTTTCGGAATTTAGAATAATTTTTTTGCATATTTATTAATTTTTTTTTTTTGTTGCATATTTAAAATTTATAATCCATATTTGCAACTTTTTCACGCATATTTTGTCTTTTTTAGCTATCTACAACTTCCGAGCCCTAGTCATAATTTATAATATTACCAGTTGTGGCAAGCCGAAAAAACTGATTGAATTTTAACTAAATTCATTAGGTACCTATAATCAAATTTAAATATTCAAAAATGTTCATAAACCATAATTATTATTATTTTCAGCGGAATTACGGTGAAATAAATTCTGTAATAGTACTTAACGTTGATTACGTGTGTAATATCGGAATAAATGTTTAAAATAGGACGCTCGCAGAATATAATTAATACGCTCATCGATGCCAAGCGATCGGTGTACAACGTGGAATTAATTGAAATTAAAATTTAGTTAAACGCACGAATGAGCATACACTCATCGGTTGAAGCGGTTTTCTCGTCAACCTCATTGGAGTCGATCCCGGAAATTGTCCGGCTTGACAAACGGTATGGAACTCAAACATAATTTACACACCGCGGAGAAGTCATTGGCGAGCACCCAAACAATCAAAATCGATGTGATCGAGTCACCCGTACACATTTGGCTTATTACACTGAGCTCATTACAGCTACACACAACTGTAGGTCGTACCGAATAGCAAGGGTAGTAAACATTATCGAAAAGATTAACTATATTCAAACTTTCATTTGTGGCGAACAACACATATTTACATCAGAGTGTAGTGACATTTTATACTATAATTTCGTTTTATTAGTCTAAGATGGTATGATGAATTTTTAAAACGATCGACTTATATTCCTTTAAAGATCAACCAGTATATCGCGATCGACGCGTTAGCAACTACTGCCATACAGGCTCAGCGGGGTATTGTAAATTCCGTCCGAAATAAATAGATAAAAACAAGATCTATGGTGAATCCCGCCCGGGAAAATATCCAAGTAAAAAAGGTACATGTAAATTCCATCCAAAAAAATATGCAAGTACAAAAAATGAATTTTTCAATTGTCAATCATGTCATATCTTATCACCTTTACTATATATTGTGGATCTAATAATTGGAAATATCAGATAGAAATATTATAAATTATGTTCAGTACACGTCTTAGAGTCTTATACGATTATACGCTATAATGGCTCAATTTATAGAATCAGAACGTGGAAGTATATTTTTAGTATTAGACAATTTTAAATCTTTTAGAGTAAACTTATAAGTTATATGTAGGATGTGTTTATTAATTATTAATT